TGAGAATTGCTGAGAAGAGGCAGAGGTAAGAGATGTGTCAACAGAAGATCCACACTATTTGTTTTGGATCTCCTCTGTGCTTTAAACTTTCTTTTCAGTTTACAAGAACATGAAGTGCTTCACATTTTTACCTTGGATTTTAGGCTGAGGTGAAAGCTTTCCTATTATTTAAGAACTATGTGTTTTGCAGTGTAGGCGTTTTAAAATTGAAAATAAGGAAACAGGAAATCATACATTAAAGAACATGTAAAGGAGATTCTCTGAAGGAGATGTATCCTGCTGAGTCCTGCACAGACTCTGATCTCACCTATTCCTTCCAGAGAAGGCATACATAGTGATCAGGTTGCTACTTCTGAAATGCAGTCACATTTTTTACAAACTTTTCTTTAAAAAGCAAACCAAAACCATTGTTCTTTCTGTTGTTAACTTTTTTTACTGTTTAACCTTTCTTTTTCTCCTTTGTTTTAATTGCAGAGCGCTGATTCAGTCTATGCTGGAAAGGTGTGACCGGTTTTTGTGGTCTCAGCAAGCATAGTAAACAACTTTGGAAAACTCTGGGAACATTTTTTTATGTAATGATTGTAAATTAAAGTGCCTCTTAAACTTCACAGGCCCTTAAGGAAACGAACTCCTGTCTAAAAGTTGAGCCAGTCTCCATCTGGCAGGTATCTGACCAGGAACTGTTGACAGTTCTGCCTTATTCCTTTGGAGATGAGTTTTGAACTGTAGAACTTAAATTAAAACAATACAGTATTTATCTTGAAATTAAGGTCACAGATTTCCAAGACAAAAATTCCTGAATTTATTTTCTGAGTCTATGACTCAGTTTCTTTGTTTGCAAACATGAGAAACCATTCCTGGGAAATATCTAAGCCCATACTTGTTTAACTTTCCTGTATATTGCACTGACCTTTACTGTTGCTGTAGAAGTGTTTGTTATGGTAGCCTTTGTTTTTTTTCTCCCTCTTAAATTATACAGACAGGTCTATTTGAAATACATTAATTGAACCAAGTCTTAAAATGGGAGGGAAATACTTTTCAGTTGTCAATTAATGGTTAAAAATGCTGATGAACAGAAAAAGTTGTTAAATGAGCTCACTGTTAAACTACAAGCACAATATTTCTATATTACCCATATCTGTTTGTGCAGTATGACTACAGACATCAGTTGTGATATTCCAACAAACCTCAGGCCAGTGGAATTAGAATCAGAGTCATTTAAGTTGGAAAAGACCCTAAAGGTCCAACTGTTAGCCTAACACTGCCAAGTCCACCACTAAACCATGTCCATAAGTGCCACATCTACACAACCTTTAAATGCCTCCACAGGGATGGTGATTCAACCTGGCAGTCTGTTCCAGTACCTGAGAACCCTTTTGGTGAAGAAATGTTTCCTAATATCCAAACGAAATGTCTTCTGGTGCAATTTGAGGCCATTTCCTCTTGTCCTATCACTTTTTACTAGGGAAAAAGGAACTTACCCCCACCTGGCTACAGCCTCATTTCAGGCAGTCATAGAGAGTGATGAAGTCTTCTCTGAGCCTCCTTTTCTCCAGGCTGAACAACTCCACCTCCCTCAGCTACTCCTTATAGGACTTGTGCTTCAAATCCTTCATCAGCTCTGTTGCCCTTCTCTGGCCTTGCTCCAGCACCTCAGTGTTTTTTTTTTGTAGTGAGGGGCCCAGAACTGGACACAGCACTCGAGGTGTGGCCTCACCAGGGCCGAGTACAGGGGCACAATCAGTGCCCTAGTCCTGCTGGCCACACTATTCCTGATACGATCCAGGATGCTGATGCCTTAAATGGCTGGAAAGAACCCTCTGCCACTCCTTTTTGAGTATTAGAAAGCAAAGCCAGTCTTTATTTACAGCGTCCTGGGTGTGTAGGGATCATTTCCACAGTACACACACAGAGTTAGAGAGGTGCTATAATTTTATACTATTATATCTAACATTAGCCAACATCTGTTACTCCCGCTTCCCAAAACCATCCATCCCATCAGATCTCCCTCGTCCCACCTTAGACACCATTCCTGATGATGACCCTTTATCTTCATCTTGTCTTTCTCTTCCTCATCTTGTTCCTTGGTCTTTGGCACAGTAGCATGCCATCTGGAATAGTTTCAAGGCTTCTGAACAGCTTTGACTCGTTTATATCAAGCAATGTGCCTGTTACATCTGTTTTCTGAGTACATTTTCTACAGATAAAATGTTCTTTCCCTTGCTACAATCTTTGTCCATTGGAATTCTTGGCAAGAAATATTAAACAACATTTTTAGAAGTCTTGTAAAAAGGTACTAACAGCCCAAAGGCACTAGCAAACCATACCAAAAGTGCTAAAAAGCTATACTAAAATTTATATAATATGTATTTTAAGGCATCAATGCCATTGGCCTTTTTAGCCACCTGGGCACACTGCTGGCTCCTGTTCAGCTGGGTGTCAACTGGCATCCTCAGGTCTGTGGCTGCCAGGCAGCTTTCTGGCTGCTCTGTACGCAGCCTGTAGTGCCACGTGGGGTTGTTGTGACCCAAGGGCAGGACCCAGTACTTGGCCTTGTTGAACCTCATCCAGTTGGCCTCAACCCATCGATCCAACCTGTTCAGATCCCTCTCCAGAGCCTTCCTGCCCTCCAGCTGATCAGCACTCCCACCCAACTTGTCATCTGCAAACTCACTGAGGGTACCCTTGATCCCCTTGTCCAGGTCATTGATAAAGACATTAAATAGGACTGACTCCAGTACTGAGTCCTGGGGAACACCACTTGGGACAGGCCATGGGCTGGATTTAACTCCATTTCCTACCACTTTCTGGGCCCAGCCATCCAGCCATTTTTTTTGTCCAGTGAACAGTGCACCTGTCCAAACCACGAGCAGCCAATTTTTCCAGGAGAACGCTGTGGAAAACTGTGTCAAAGGTTTTACTGAAGTCCAGGTCAACTTTGGTAATTCAACAATTAATTCTGACATTTTGGAAAGTGAGAGGACCGCGTGTCTTCTTTTAATATTTTTAAAAGCTGAAGGTTTAGATGAGTATTTTTAGATGGATGCTGTCAAGAAAGAAGTCTTTTTACATACCTGGTAGAATATGAAGATTAATAAAATTACTTGGATTTTATATCTCATTTACAGAACTATGCAGTCTGGTTATTTTGTCTTGATGTCAATAAACACTTCAGTGTGGAGGGTAGGTTACTTCGCTAGACAAAGTTACAGGGAGCCAATTAGGGTCAGGTTTTCATCCATTAATAGTGTTGCTTGTGGAAAAGCCAATTCAGAACTATTTCTCAGAAAGAAACCTTTAAATCTTTTGGAGTTTAGACTCTGACACTGGAAATAGAAGGATCTGTGCCATCAGAAACACCCCATGCTCTTACAGTAAGACTTGGAATGGAAGCCAGGCACCTGCCAGATGCTGTTGGTGACTGTTCTCTTCCCTGCCAGGTGAGGTGCTGCTGTCTCAGTGCCTGTCCTGTTCACTTAACACAGTTCATACAGCAGTAGCTGAGTGCTCCTGTTGCCTTCCTTGGAGGAATTTCTGGCTTTCTGAGAATGTGCCTGGCTTATCTCCATATGCAATGGCTACATTTGCTGCTTGTATTTTGTGTACACATCAGTCTCTTGCTTCTGTGGAGGTTTTATACACTTGGTTAACTTTGAGTACGGGTTGGGCTTTTCTGGTTTTTTTACAATAAATCAATACTTTCTGGTCAGAGTCTTTTTTTGCGTCAGAGTGGTCATAGAGGTAACATAATGGGAAGTGTTTGTTCAAATTTCATGTGTAAAGTGAGCTTGTGTTGATGATTTCAACTAACTCGGCTGTCAATAAAGAATAAGAGTTTACTCTCCGAAGAAGAGTTGGAAAATCACTGTTTCCTATTCTGGATGAGTTTGTTTTCATCTCAGGGGTAAGGTGAAGGGACTGTGAAATAAAATGGTCTGTTCAGAAGTTGCAGCTGCACAGAGCAAGGCCCTCATGCTAAAGCTGTGGCCCCTAAACCAGCTCCTGTCAGACAGCTGAGCACACACCACTGATGGCTTGAGCCAGTCCACACTGGGGCAGATGAGCTGCAGCTCATCCTTGGCTTTTGTGGGTCACTGATGGTGGAAGAAGGCCTTAAAAAGCAGAGATGAGTAAAGGGGGCTTTGCCTGGAGCAGCTTTAAATAGAAACTGTGGTCCTGGTATTTGTTTTCTTTTTTGAAAGAAAAAAGCATCATACCCTCCTCAAACATTATTTCACTATTAGAATCATCAACAAAACCTCTGGGGAAATAAATTTTATTTCAGATAAATATCTGCATTTTCAATCTGTTTCTTGAAAGGATCCAAGTTTGCAGTTGTTCTACACGTCTATAAACCTGAGGTCAATGCTAGTAAATATTCTATACAGGAGCATGGCAATGCATCATTGCACATGTAAACTAAAATAATGTACTGTTCCTTCCCAGAATAACTGCATCTATGATTGTGCCTGAGCTGGGAATTCACCTTATCTGATTTCTCAATCTGAATTTCTCAGATTGCAAAATTGTGGAATGTTTGTGGAATGTAGCTTGCATTTATAGATATTTAGAATTAAAGGGCAACCAGTATGGGGTTGCTTTTTATCTTAATTACATCAGAATGTACAAACTCAGGAAACAGTCTCCAGGCACCCTTCAGTATGTTGTTTCCCCAGCGTGCACACGCAGCCAGAATTTTCCTGCTGGGCCAGAAAGAAATACTTCGTTCAGCCCCTTCTCCATGCTCAGAGGCAGCTTTGTCTGTTTCTGTTGCGCAAGCAGCAGTTTTGGCTGCAGCTTGTTTCTGTGAGCTCGGGGTTGTGACCTGGAGTGCAGGCCAAGAGGATACGGGAAAGCAGAGCTCAGGCTATTCTCTGCTGGAGCACAGAGCTGGAACTTTATCTTGGTTACCATAGGGAGCTCCCACATTGTTGTCACTACTGCTGTCCTTGTTGGAGAGGAGTCCAGGGGATACACTGCCAGATCTAAAGAGAATGTGAAACATGGCATAAGATTCAGAAATATCCTCTATAGTCCAAAATGCCTGAGCTCTTGTAGGAAAAAATACCATCAGTCAGTTTTGAAGGCAATGCTGTGTTCTAGGTCCCAGAGCAAAATGGCACATGCCTGCACCCCAGCTTACAGGAGTAATTTTCCAGTGGTTTTTTTTTTTTTTTTTTTTAAACCGAAAAGGTGACAGGGCCACTTGCAGCCAGTAGAGAAGAAATTTGAGCAACCCTGTACTGCAAGAACATAGGTTGCAACATAAGTTGCAACTAGGATGTGAACAGAGTTGCAGCAAAACATAGTTCCTGTAGCAACTGAGCTGTTGTTGCAGAGGGAAGCACTGGGTTCATGGATGGCAGGGGACAAAATTATGTGTCTGCTCCCTGCTTTTTGCAAGGTTCTCTTGTCCATTGGGTTGAACTTTAGATTCTCATTGCCCATTGTTCCATTCAGAGATACAGAGTACTATAGAGTATCTGTTCTACCGCTCCAGGTCGGTCTGTGCAAAATATATCCTCTTAAGCTGAACTCTTGGTGAAGTCCAGCGATGCCCAAGGAAAGTTGCCTGATGGCACTTTATTAGCTTTATTGTACCTCTTTCACCTCATGCTTCTGCTCTGCAGCTCCAGCAGCAAATTGTTTAAAGTGACAGAGTTGTGAACGGGGCAACTACCTGTAACTCTTCTGAGGAGAATGTAAAATGCTCTCTTAGACCTGTTAAATCATGTGTGAGACCACACAAAGGGGAGACTTTCTGCACCCTCTCTCTACAGCGCAACTGGACTCAAACCTGGAGCTTTCTGCTAGTTAACCAAGGGAAGCAAGCAGGCTCCTGAGCAGGGAGAGCACAGTGGGTACTCAAACTCTGAACCATGTCACTAGGGCCTGACAGTTAATATATGAATTTTAAAATCTAGCAGAGTTGTTGCTGTATGGATCTGAACTTCCCCTTAGGTAAAATGTTGACTGCTGCATCAAAAACTCTGCTTAGTTTAAGCCCACCTAAGCCCCACTGAGCTGCCGTTGCAGCAGGATGGCTGGAAGTCCCTTGGGAAGGATCTGTGAAAGCAAACCAAGGCAGGATGAACCATTCAGAGCCTCTTTATGGTGTGTGTGTCTGTGCTATCTTAGAGCATTATCAGCAGGGACACAGGTGTATGTGGTTTGCTTGGCAATGGAGTTAAGAGCAACACTTCTCATTTTCCACTCCATCAACTCTGGGATTCATCTGGTCATCCCAGCATGCATGAGAATTTCACTTAGCAGTTCCTGCAGCCCTTCTGGTAATGCAGCTGACTGTTGGTTGTGCACAGACCCAGACCTGACCTTGTGCTTCATGCAGACAACCAGGCACCTTCCCTTCCCAGCTCTGTCCAGCACAAGGGCCAAAAAAAAGTGTCACCTTTAAGTCAAGTGTAACATTTCGAGCACACAGAACACTTCAGTCTTCAAGGCAGTTTCTCAGTCTGCTTGTTATGAGGAGCAAATAGTCCCATGGACAGCTGAAGAAGCACCAAATACTGTCTAAAAAATTGTGTAAGAGGAGCTATGAACTTTCAGTAAGGACAAGGGCAGGTTTCCAATAACGATTCTGTGTTTAAAGTGGGGGAGTAGTGGGGAATTCCTAGCCATGGGTGTATCCTTTACAGTTTCCTCTTTTGAAGGATTTGAATTGCTTATAAATACCCTTTTTGAGTCTGAGAGCACACGAGACCATCTCCACTTCCTTCGGCTTTGCCTTTCTGCAGTGGTGAGTGACATTCTGAATTTGTGAGCTATATGCAGTGTTTGGAGCTGGTATTTGGGAACAGGACTAATGCTTTAGCATGTGGGGCTTCTCTGACAAGAGCAGCAGAGAATGCTAGAATGCAAGTTTCTCATGTGCACCTGCCTGTGTTGTGGAGTCCTTAGCTGAGCTTGTGGTCTCACAGAGGATACCACTCCTCGTAGGGGTAGAAGGGGGCCCTGGGCAGCTGCCCTGGCACAGCTGTGGGTGTCGTGGATGCTATGCCAGCAGTCTCTCAAAGGTGCTCCAGAACTGTTCATCTCTTTGTCTCACAGCTCTGTCTCAGACTTGGGCAAGTAACCATGAGGCTCTGTGTCTGCCTTATGTTGCTCTCCGTTGTTCTGTGTGTAAGTGCTGACAGATTTGGACTGCGCAGAGCTGGACACTTTGTCCGGGATGCAGCGGGAGGTAAGCTGCTCTTAACATAGACCCTCCTCTTAGGAACCCGCTCCCCAAGGGTTACCAGTGGATGCAGCCCCTGGAGCTGGGAGATCCACATCTGGTTTCTGCTGCTGGCAGAGGGCCTTGATCAGCCCCCACAGGTGCTTTCTGTGGGCAAAGCCCTGTGCAAAGACTGATGTGGAGATGTGCCTCTCTGTGTTACTGCTCCTTTGGCCTTTCAGCTCCTTGTGCCTTTCAACTCCTGGCTGAAATGGTACTGGACTATTTATGGTGTGACTTTTTCAAGTCAATATCATTTCTGTTTCTCCACTTTCTTCAGGAACATGGGATATGTACAGAGCGTACCGGGACATGCGTGAGGCAAATTATAAAGGTGCCGACAAATACTTCCATGCTCGTGGGAACTACGATGCTGCCCGGAGAGGACCTGGTGGTGCCTGGGCAGCAAGAGTGATCAGGTAAGAGAGTGTGCTTGGCTTGTTAACAGCGAATTACTAGGGATCCAGGCATTCCAGTTGAAGTCCTTTTGACTTGTACTCAGCTTTTCACCTAGAAGGACAGCAGAGGGGAGGGGATGCAGTTCCTGTCTGGACAGCCTGTCTCTATAGGAATGGTGGCTGTCCTCCCACATGAGTGTGAGGCCTTTCTTCTTGTACTCCTGAGAAGGCAGACTCCTTCCTCTGGATTTCTGGTCATAAAAAACTCTCCTTGCTGGTTCGTTTCCCGACATAACAGTTATGGGTTCCATGCGGGCTCTCAGACAAGGCTCAGTATATGGTTGCATCTCACCTTGAGAAGCACTGAGGAAAAGGGTGCTTGCTTTATGTGAGTGAGGAGATCCACACGAGGCTGAGCTCATGCGGTCGGTTCAGGTGACTTTCCTCCTTCCCCGCAGTGACGCCCGGGAGGGATGGCAGAGCAGAGTGAGCGGCAGAGGCGCCGAGGACACCCGGGCGGACCAGGAGGCGAACAGGTGGGGGCGGAGCGGCGGGAACCCGAACCGCTACCGCCCCAAGGGGCTGCCCAGCAAGTACTAGGGCTGTCCCCCTGCTCCTCTTCCTTTGCCTTTGTACATCATCATCATCATCAGGGCTAGGCTTCGCGAACGAAGATTTGGGAAGGGCTCTACCCAGATTTGCTACAAGCGCGCTGGTGACGAAAAAGTCTTTTTTAGCCTTTGTACTGCCGAATAAAGAAATCCTTCTGAAAACTGTCCCCTCGTCTGCGAGCATCCATCCTCCTGGGCCGCGGGACTGGGGGACGGCGCTGGGGCGGGGGCAGCGGGGCGGTGTCGAGGCATCACGGGGGCTGCCACGGGGTGGGGGCCTTGGGCGGACGGGTCCCGGAACGGTGCCGGTGCGATCCCGGCACCATCCCGGCACGGCCTCCACACGGCCTCCACACGGCCGCTGGGGCGGCAGCGGCCGCCGGTGCCCAGGGGGCGCTGTGGGGCCGCGGGTGCCGCTCCGGCCGCGCTGCCGCCGCCTCGCCGTGCCCGCGCGGCTGTGGGGCCGCCATGGACCGCAACCCGTCACCGCCGTGCAGCGATGCGGAGGAGGAGGAGGGGGACGCGGTGGGGAACACGGTGTACAGCAAGCACTGGCTCTTCAGCGTCCTCACCCGCCTCATCGAGGTGCGGCGGGCGCAGGAGGGAGGGGGCCGGCGGGCCGGTGTCGATCAGCGCCGGGCGGGTGCGGCGCGATCGTTCCCGGGGCCGGGGGGACACCCGGGGTCACACCCGGAGACACAGCCGGGGGACAGCCGGGGACACCTGGGGACACAGCGGCTTCCGAGCGGTGCGGGGGGGTTAACCCGGGTCGTGTACCCCTCACCCCGACACCCCGACGTGTCCCAGGTCATCGCCCCCGCGGAGCCGGATCCTGCCGCCAGCCCCGAGGGAGCCCGGACGGAGCTGGACGAGGAGATGGAGAATGACATCTGCAAGGTGTGGGACATGTCGATGGACGAGGTAGGAGCGATGTTCTGCCCCGCAGAATCCTCCTGGACGTGGCAGAAGGCACAGAGTCATCCGGGCTCGGTCAGCTCTCGAAATAGGCTTATTTCCCTCTAGCAATTGTAGTGCGCCCTACTGGTAAAGCATAGTTTTCTCTGATAGATAAACAGCCTTTCAAAGTTTGGCTACAGACTGGCAGTGGCAACGTAGCGCAGCTTTTTGGTATTTTTCTCAGCATTCTCAAATGCTGGAAGAAATTCTCAAGTTTTATATATATATATATATATATAAATATATATAATTATTTTATTTGCTGGCTTGTTGAGATTTTTTAAATAAACATGGAATATGTATCCTTTAGTCCCAAATAGAGAACTCATCTTGTGTTTTAATGTGGTAAAATGAGAAGGAAATTTCTTTTGTACGGTCTGATCAGGTGCTAATGGCAACCCCTTCACTTGTTTCTTTTTATAAGTTGGGGTGATATCTTGTCTTAAAACGTGGTGTTTACTGGATTCTTACTTAGTGTCTCTGACCCTCTGTTGGGATAAGGAAAAAAAGAACCTTTCCTTGCCAGTGTGACTTTTGGTCTCACTGGCATCCTGAATCACCAGAAGGGCTTGAGTTCCTGATCTTGTCTCATTGAAAAGCAAGGATTATTGGTATTCACTGTTAGCAAATAACAGCATTTTTGTAGCAAGTTTGTCATCTCTTTGATCCACTCCTTGTGCCGTGAGAAAGGGTTTGATTTTGCTCTTGAAAATTGTAGAGGTCCATTTACTTCTCCATTCACTTTCTCCACAGGATGTTGCTTTATTCCTTCAGGAGTTCAACGCCCCCGATATATTCATGGGAGTTTTTGCCAAATCAAAATGCCCTCGCCTTACTGTAAGTATGGGCTGTCAAAAAGCTGTCGTGTTTTAATAACAATAGTAGGTAGTTCTGTACGTGCATTTACTCTTATCTTCTTTCTCCTTCCACTGCATGTTTGAATGTATTAGGGGAAGCAGAAGAAAATGCAAAATCAAATTTTAGAATGCTTTTTTTGCAGTGTTTTTAATGTGGTATCAGTAATGTAATCAGTAAGTATTTCAGTGATGTTGAAGCTGAAACAAGTCTGCTCACATATCCTCACCCATGTAAACTGATGAGGGACTGATTTAATCAATCCTAGTTACAAGACCTGTTATAAAAGCCAGTAGCCTGGCCTATTTCTCTCATTACTTGTTTTATGATTACTGAACAGAAATGGTCGTGGACTTGTTTAGTCAGACCTGCAAAAGTGTGGCAGGATGACCCTGACTGGACATCAGGTGCCCACTAAAGCTGCTCTGTCACTCCCCTCCTTAACTGGACAGGGAAGAGAAAATATAACAAAAGGCTCATGGGTTGTGATAAGAACGGGAGAGATCACTCACCAGTTACTCTCACAGGCAAAACAGACTCAGCTTGAGGAAATAATTTAATTTATTACTAATCAAATCAGAGCAGGATAAGGAGAAATAAAATCAAATTTCAAAAACACCTTTCCCCCACCCCTCCCTTCTCCCAAGGCTTGACTTCGTTCCTGATTCTCTCCCTCTTCCCCTGAGTAGCACAGGGAAATAAGGAATGGGAGTTGCGGTCAGTTCATCACACGTTGTGTCTGCTGCTCCTTCCTCTTTAGGGGGAAGACTCTTCATTTTCTTCCCCTGCTCCAGCATGGGGTCCCTTCCATAGGAGACAGTTCTCCATGAACTTCTCCAACGTCAGTCATTCCCACAGGCTACCATTCTTCCCAGAGTGCTCCAGTGTGGGTCCCCCACAGGGTCACAAATCCTGCCAGCAAACCTACTCCAGCATGGGCTTCTCTCTCCATGGGTCCACAGGTTCTGTCAGGATCCTGCTCCAGCACAGGCTTCCTGCAGGGTCACAGCCTTCCTTCAGGCAGTGCTCCAGTTTGGGGTCCTCCACAGGCTGCAGGTGGATCTCTGCATCCCCACAGACCTCCATGGGCTGCAGGGGCACAGCTGCCTCACCATGGTCTGCACCACAGGCTGCAGGGGAACCTCAGCTCTGGCACCTGGAGCACCTCCTGCCCCTCCTTCTGCACTGACCTTGGTGCCTGCAGGGCTGTTTCTCTCCCATATTCTCACTCCTTTCAGCTGCAGCTGCTGTCATGCAGTAGCTTTTTCTCTTTCTGAAACATGTTATCCGATGGGTGCTCCCACCGTCTTTGAACCTCTCTTACTTTTGTCTTACTGCTCTGGAAGTGAAATCCTGGTCTACATTGCAGTTGCCTCATCATACTGTGTTTTGACTTTTCAGGAAATCTGCGTGGGAATATTAGGAAATATGGCCTGTTTCCAGGACATATGCATGTCCATTAGTAAAGATGAGAATCTTGGGTAAGTGTATATGTGCTTCATACATGCACGAGTACTGCTTTTCTGGACTCACAATCATGAAGTACATGTTATAAAAGGATCTCAGTTTGCCTGCCGTGCCTCATCTTCATTCATACTGTTTTGGCTGATCTTTTTTGTGTGGGAAGTGCTCAGTGAAGGAAAAAAGAACACAGACCACTGTTTTATTTCTTTTTTTAATCGCCAGTGAAGTTCTTGAATCTTTGATTGGCAATCTCGAAACACTTAAAATGCATGCGTAGTTAGAAAAAGCTGCTTTTAATCTCAGAACATGGCTGCAGCTATGAAATTACCTTTTTATACCTGTTTTTTTAAACAAGGATAGATTTTGTTAACTTTTTCTCTTGCATTTTCTCCTTAAAGCCAGGTGCTCTTGCAGCGTTTGTGTGATTCAGACTCCCCAACTCTTCTGGAAACAAGCAGGTAGGACATCTCAGAAATTAATGCATTGTTAGTGAGGTTCTGCTGTGTTCTGAGGCCTGGAAAGAAAACTGACAAATGGGCTCACTGTTTTATTATCCTCTCATCCCCTCATCTTTTATTGTTTCTGCGTTGTCCTGGAATCAGTCCCTGTGAGGTAGATTCCTGTTTCTGTCACATCATTCTCATTATTTTGGATTTACACTTGTACAGCTGAAACGAACTGAATTGGCTTCTAATTTATTAAATGGGGAATTCTTGTCTAGGCTGTTGTTAACTTGCCTGTCCCAGCCTGAGGTGGCCAATGTCTGGGTTGAGAGAATCCGAGAAAACCCTTCCGTGTATGACTGTGTTTGCTTTATCATGTCCAGCTCTACAAATGGTAAGTTGCCAAAACAAGCTGGGAATTAGAAGAAAAAATAAGAACTGAAGTTTGCAGTTTCAAAGACAAGTATTTTCAGTGGGGAGAATTTCTTGAAAATAAAGGGAACCTCATAAATTTAAAGGACACCAAAACAAACCCATCCTGCCTTTGCAGGTTCATAAATATAGATAAATATAAATATAAATATAAATATAAATATAAATATAAATATAAATATAAATATAAATATAAATAAAACCAATCAAAAAAACAGGCACAGAGGAAGTAGAAAGCTCTGTGGGGAATTAAAATAAGTGTAACAGAAGAAATTGTTATTTTCCACAAGAAAGGAAAGGACATGGTCTTTGTTCAGGGATATACATGTGTAATTTTTGAACCTTAAAACAAGACCTCATTTAATTAGTTTTTTTTCAAATCAGATATATATATTTACTGTTTTTAAAACTGCCATACTTGTGGAATGGTGACTGGAGGAGTGATTCAGTTGCTCTGAGTGGCAGCTGAATACTGCACAGGCTTTGGGTATACAGTCAGTAGTGTGCAAATCTCTCTTAGAACTGATTTATTAAAAACCACACCAAACTCCTAAAAATGCAAATACTTTGAATAGCATTTATGTTTCATATCCAACTCAATTGTAACAGCAGTTATGATTTGTCAAGGAGTCCTAATAATTTAGCTTTTTCAGGGTTTTTTTTATTATTATTAATGACAGTGATCTGAAATCGTGCTCATCCAATTGAAATCACAGATCTACCAAAGTAAAATGCAGATTGGCAGGTGGAAGACTGGCATCAAACTGCATATCTAGGGACAAATCTTGGAAAGTTTTTCTTCAGAAGCAGAAGTTAGGACTTTTCAGGAATGTGAAGTCTCTTTGCAGAATAAAGTTCTTGCTTCACATATGGCAAGACAAGGTTGGAGACGTCAGTGGGCTTTGCAACAATTCCTGTTTATCAAACTCTTCACTTGGTTTGTGCCACGTAAAGGAATTAAACATAGCAACCCATAATAGGTCATGAAGAAAATTAATATATTTTAGTACTCTA